GGCCTAGAAAGTTGGAGGGAGGGGGTAAAGGAGGTTTTGTGTGCGAGGGGCTTGGACTTCCAGCAGGCATGCGTGAGCGTGTTTGATAGGAATGAATGGAGACAAATGGTTTTTAATACTTGACGTGCTGTTGGAGTGTGAGCAAAGAAACATTGATGAAGGGGTTCAGGGAAACCGGCAGGCTGGACTTGAGTCCTGGAGATGGGAAGTACAGTGCCTGCACTCTGAAGGAGGGGTGTTAATGTTGCAGTTTAAAAACTGTAGTGTAAAGCACCCTTCTGGCAAGACAGTGATGGAGTGAATGATGGTGAAAGTTTTTCTTTTTCGGGCCACCCTGCCTTGGTGGGAATCGGCCAGTGTGATAATAAAAAAATAAAAACATGTATGTGTAGTGTGATCTAAGTGTAAGTAGAAGTAGCAAGACGTACCTGAAATCTTGCATGTTTATGAGACAGAAAAAAAAGACACCAGCAATCCTACCATCATGTAAAACAATTACAGGTTTCCATATTACACTCACTTGGCAGGACGGTAGTACCTCCCTGGGCAGTTGCTGTCTACCAACCTACTACAAATACTCAACAGACTTATTCCCCTATAATTTTTACACTCTCTTTTGTTCCTTTTGCCTTTGTACATGCTCTCTGCCAGTCCCTAGGTACCTTACCCTCTTCCATACATTTATTAAATAAAAGCACTAACCACTCCAAAACTATGTCCCCACCTGCTTTTAACATTTCTATCTTTATCCCATCAATCCTAGCTACTTTACCCCCTTTCATTCTACCCACTGCCCCATGCATTTCCCCCACACTGACAACTGGTTCTTCCTCACTCCTATAAGATGTTATTCCTCCTTGCCTTATACACAAAATCACAACTTCCCTATTTTCGTCAACATTTAACAATTCTTCAAAATATTCCCTCCATCTTTCCGATGCCTCTTACTCTCCGTTTAATAACTCTCCATCTCCTCTCCTCTATATGTTCCCTAGGCTTTCTCATCTTATTAATCTCACTCCAATACTTTTTCTTATTTTCAAGAATATTTGTTGATAACATCTCACTCACTCTCTCATTTGATCTCTTTTTACATTGCTTCTCCACTCTCTTAACCTCTCCTTTTCTTTCCATATACTCCTCCCTCCTTGTATCACTTCTACTTTGTAAAAGCCTCTCATATGCTAAAATTTTTCTCTCTTACTCTCTCTTTACATCATCATTCCACTAATTGCTCTTCTTCCCTCCCACACCCATTTTCCTGTAACCACAAACTTCTGTTGAACACACTAACACTACATTTGTAAACTTACCCCATACATCTTCTCCCCCTTTACCTATACTCACACTGCCCCATCTGTCCCCCAACATTTTTTATATCTTTCCCTAACGCCCCTCCTCAGTTTAAAAACCTTCACCTCTCTCTTCTTGCTGTTTCCATTTGCCTTGTACCCACCCCTTTACCTCACTGTAGCTAAAACTAAAAAGTGATGATATATCTTGGGGCCCCTCATAAACATGAAAACCCTGAAGTCTACCCAAGGTTTTTCTACAACATATCCAACAACTACTGTCTTTATGCCCATACATATCTTGTATACTTTTTTATCCTCTTTTTTTTAAAAATATGTGTTACCTGTAACAAAACCCCTTTCATACAAATTTCAATCAAATGCTCCCCCCATTATCATTCCCCACCGGGCACCTAAAATTTTTCCTCCCACCCCCTCCAACTCTTTCAGGTATTTCCCACTTAATCTCAAATTTTTCCCCACTGAAACCCCCCTCCCCCCTTCAGCTTTGTTTTGCTTGGGGCGGACATCTAACTTCTTTTCATTCAAACATTAGCAATCATCTTTTTCTTATCTCACAATCCACCCTTTTAAAACACCCCCAATTTTTATAAATTTTTCTTTTCCTTATTTTTAGAAATTTATACGGGGAAAAGGGTTAGTACCCTTTGCCCCGGGGATTTACTTGCCCTTACACATCATATTTACGGAGCAAAAATTTCTTTTCCACTTCCCGGGGAAAAAAAGCAGAAATAAACAAAACAATACTAGGAAAAAATAGAAGAAAACCCAGAGCTCAGGGGGGTTAGTTATGATTTGCTTGTCATGCAGGTAGGGACCTAATGTAAGAGAAGTAGCAAAATTATCATCTCTCTCCCAAATCCCTGGGTACCTTTCCCCTTTTCATATACGATTTATTAAACAAAAAAACCAACCACTCCCAAATCTATTCTCCCCCTGCTTGAACATTTCTGTCAGATCCATCAGTTCTAGCTGCTGATCCCCTGTCATTCTTTTAATGCCCCACACAAACCCCCCCCATGCCACTCCTCCTCTTCTTCACTCCTAAAAGATGTTATACCTCCCCGGCCAGTGCAGAAATTACTGCCTACCTTTCTTTATTGACATTTAAAAATTCCTCAAAATCCACCATCACCCAATACCTCCACCCCTATCTACTACTCCCCTACTTCTTTTAACTGCAAACCATTCGTTTCCCAGGGTTTTCTTAAATTGTTTATCTCCAAAATTTTTTTTTATGTCAGCAAAATTCTTAACATCCCTCCCCCCTATATTTCTCTTCTTGTGTACTCTCCACCATTCACTTCACCTTCCTTTTTACTCTCCCTATCTTTGGCCCCCCTTATATCACTTCTGCTTTTTAAAAAACCCCTTATAAAGCTACCTTTTTCCTTTTTTTCGACCCTTTTCCTCATCATTCCCCCCAAATTGCTCCCCTTTTCCTGCACCCACCCTCCAAAGCCCAAACTTCTGCCCCACATTTTGATACTTCATTTTTTAAAAAAATATCCTTTTGATACATTTTCCCTTTTACCACTTTCAACACACCGGCCGTATCCCACCAGGCGGGTGGCCCAAAAGGAAAAACGAAATTTCTCCTTTTACATTTATAAATATACGGGAGAAAAGGGTTACTACCCCTTCTCCCCCATTTTAATTGGGCCCCCTACAACACGCATGGCTTTTCGGAGGAAATTCGTTCCCTTCCCCATGAGGTAAGAGAAAATAAAAAACAAAACTATAAGAAAAAAATTAGAAAACCCCCAAGGGGGGTGTGTAATATATAGCTTGTACATGTATGTGTAGTGGGGACCCAAGGTTTAATAAAGTAGCAAGACAACCTGAATCTTGCATGTTTATGAGACAGAAAAATGGACACCAGCAATCTTACCATCATGTAAAACAATTACAGGCTTTCGTTTTACACTCACTTGGCAGGATGGTAGTACCTCCCTGGGTGGTTGCTGTCTACCAACCTACTACCTAGGTTTTTGATACATATCTTCTTTATTTATTTTGTATTCAATCCTTACATCATCCACAAACATATGTATTCACGTTGTTTTATGTTCCTTCTGGCAAGTGCAGTGATGGAAGGGTTTGTGGGGTTTTGTTAATATATAAAAATAAATCATAAGTTTTAGGTGCAATTACAAGTGAATATTACCTGTAGGGGTGTAATTAAATTATGGGGAATCAAATACAAAATGGGAGTTGACACAGTTACTTTTTGCTGATGATACTGTGCTTTTGGGAGATTCTCTAAAGAAAAGTTACAAAGGTTAGTGGACGAGTTTGGGAGGGTGTGTAAAGGTAGAAAGTTGAAAGTGAATATAGGTAGATAAGAGTAAGGTGATGAAGGTATCAAAGGATTTAGATAAAGAAAAATTGGATATTACATTGGAGAGAGGGACTATGGAAAAAATGAATGTTTTCAGATATTTGGGAGTTGACTTGTCAGCAGATGGGTTTATGAAGGATGAGGTTAACCATAGAATTGATGAAGGAAAAAAGGCGAGTAGTGTGTTGAGGTATCTGTGGAGATAAAAAACATTATCCATGGAGGCAAAGAAGGGAATGTACGAAAGTATAGTGGCACCAACACTCTTATATGGGTGAAGCTTGGGTTGTAAATGCTGCAGTGAGGAGGCAGCTGGAGGCAGTGGAGATATCCTGTCTAAGGGCAATGTCTGGTGTAAATATTATGCAGAGAATTCGTAGTGTGGAAATTTGGAGGTGTGGAGTTGCTAAAAGTATTAGTCAGAGGGCTGAAGAAGGGTTACTGAGGTAGTTTGGTCATTTAGAGAGAATGTAACAAAGTAGAATGACTTGGTGAATGTATAAATATGTAGGGGAAGGAAGGCGGGGTAGGGGTCATCCTCAAAAAGGTTGGAGGGAGGAGGTATAGGAGGTTTTGTAGGCGAGGGGCTTGGATGTCCAGCAAGCGTGCGTGAGCGTGTTAAATAAAAGTGAATGGAGACGAATGGTTTTTGGGACCTGATGAGCTGTTGGAGTGTGAGGAGGGTAATATTTTGTGAAGGGTTTCCGGAAAACCTGTTAGCTGGACTTGAGTCCCTCAAATGAGAATTACAATGCCTGCACTTTAAAGGAGGGGTTCAGGATATTGGCAGTTTGGAGTGACTATCTAAACTGTTGCATCTGGGTGCCTCTACAAAGACAGTGATTATGTATGAGTGATGGTGAAAGTGTTGACTGGTAGTGAAAGTTTTTTCTTTCTTTTTTTTTTTTTTTTGGGGTCACCCTGCCTTGGTGGGAGACGGCCAACGTGTTGAAAGAAAACAAAACAAAACAAAAAAAAAGAAACAGCAATTAATAATGAACTATCTCTGCAATGGCCTAGCTACCCCAGCAGCAGCCAGAAACGTGATTTTGAATAATTTATTCCACAACATAGCTTCAGGGCCTTTCCTAAGTCTGAAACCTCTAGGTAACAGGATTCCCTCCTAGTGTTTCATTACCTCCTTAGGCAATCCCCTGGCACACTGTGAGACAATTACTGAGTACAGGTTTGGGTTTTTGGGCTATTTTAGACAAATTTGCCGCAGTGGCAAGAAGCTGTTCTGTATTTAGTGTTTGTATCTGTAAGTGAAGACTCATTGGTTAGAGATTATTATTTATTTATTCTTTGATGCTTATTAGATCATCCTGCTAGTTTTTCTCATCTAGGTGATAACTCAGTCTCCAACATGTGAACTTCGAATACTGAGTGCCACACCAGAGCAGATTTCTCATCTACAAGACACCCAGGAAATCATACTTTCAGAAGAGCAGATTCTCGCCCAATCCTCGGTAGATATACTGTAGCAATATAATTTGTTTGCAGTTCCATTATTTTTACCTAAAATCTAAGGTAATTTCAGTAGCAAAGTGTTATGATTCATTGTTTGCATGTTTTTTTTAGCATATTAGCTACATTCAGAGGAAAACGGTTTCAGTGAAAATATTAAAAATATACACTAATGGATTTGGGGCAACTAATTATTAAATCAGTTTATAATTATCAGTTGTCAATTGACTAAAATTATGTTGATGGTTATATCTCCTCAACACAGATATTTATATTAGAGTGCCAATGTATAATTTTGAATGTTGACTTTTTTATCAGAAGTAATAAATCCAGAGTCTAATATACAGGTTTTGAATGTATTTCATTATACAGTCTTGCATTAAAATAAATCTGTTGATGATAATGATAGGTGCATTTCTGTGCTGGGGCCATGGAGGGCCACCTGGAATATGCTGCACCTCCTCACCCCAAATTTACTCGCTCCTCTGTACCTCAACAAAGCCTGTACATATGTGTGTGCACTTTGTGCTCAGTAATGTAGTGACCTTCACTTATCACCTGAGACTCCTAGAATGCATTTAAACCCATTTGCAGTGAAAACACAACAGCTTGGGAGGGTTTTCAGAAAAAGCGGTCCCCACGGCCCCTCATGCAGCAATGCATCTTTCATTGAGGTCAAATATGCAGTTTTCTGTTTTGCGTGGACCAAGAGGAAACATCTGTTAATCAGGTGGAACCAGAATCCTAAGTATGAGGGGTAATATCATCAGACCCCTAATGATTGTGCAAAAACGTTCCTAAGAGTTTCACAACCAACCCTTGTACTAATTTCCCCCCTGCAAAAATAAATAAGGCAAAGTAACAGCATTTTTAAGGCTAAAAAGTCTGCTTTGATGAAAACATAAGAACCAAAAAAATACAGCAAGGAACATATTTTAATGAACCACCAGTCATGGAGCCAGGGAGGTACTGGGGCCCCATAAGGGAACAGCAGTGAAACATCCTCCCGGGAAGAACGGACCCATCCTGAGAAAATGAAAAATGTCAAGGGATGAAAATGTCATAGGATGTTCCAAATTTTAAACTGATTAGATCAAACTAAGAAATTTTTACGAACAGTAAACAGCTGGCACTCGGGGAAGGGATGCCCCTAAGGGGTCCAAGAGAGTGACCCCAACCATGTAAAACAAAATGAAAGACTTCAGAGGGGAAAAACGTTTTGTGACAGGGGCATGCAAATCAAACAACAGGGCATTTTAACCTTCCAAGTATAAATCTAAAAAGGAAGGAAGGTGGGGAGGGGTCATTTTTAGGAATGAAAGAGAAGGGGGGTAAAGGGGGTTTTTTGGGGAAAAGTGGCTTGACAAATAGCAGGCTTTTTGGGAGCTTGTTAGATAGGAATGAGTGAGAAATGGTTTTTTTGGAACTTACAAACTGCTGGAGGTGAGCAGGTAATATTTTTTTAGGAGATTCAGGGAAATTTCTCTTTTTTTAAAAGTTTTTAAATTTTTACTACTCTCGGGGGCCCGGGGCCCGGCCCGGCCGTCTGGGCTTGCCTGGATCCTCAGTCCGTTTTTGAATGGGGTGTGCTATTAGGGGCCAGGCCCTCAAACTTTTTCCCGGACAGTGACCCTCGGAATGAAAATTTATTTCCTTCCAAGAGCTTTTTTTTTAAACCAATTTTTTCATTACCAAATTAATTTCCCCAAAGAAATAAAGGAAACCAATTAAACCATTCCGACACCCAAAAGTATTAAACAGAATTTTTTTTTTTCATGAAATAAACATTTTTCCCACACGAAAACAAGAGGCATGCAAAAAAACAATACTGAAAAGACACTTACCTTTTTTGAGGGCTTATTTATGAGTGATGAATGGAGGAGGCAAAGGGTGGGGGAGTTTTCAATTTTTTGGAAGGGGGGAAACCCCTTTCCTAAAGACTTGGTAACCGTCTTTTTCTGGGGTTACCTCCCCCCTTTTTTTTTTTAATGCCACAAACACCATTGAAGTCATGGACCCCTGTCGCCCAAAAAAATTTCCAGAGAGTTTTTCTGCATCCTTAAGATTTCCCTAAAATGGGCCAATATTTTGTCATTGTACATGTTGCCAATACATCCTGCAACAGCTGTGTCAGGGTAATGTTCATCCATAAAGGTTTGCACTTCAATTCACTTTGCACAAATGTCCTTAATATTTGAAGAAGGCAACTCCCTCCATCTCTCTCTCCCTCCTCCTCTGAAGGAAATTCCTGAGCTGTGGTGTGTTGCTGTTGCACCTCAAGCTCTTGCAGCTCTGTAGTGGTTAGCTCTTCATCGTCATCCTCCACCAACTCTTCCCTATCCTCGCCACTAAACTCCAACCCCATGGACTTCTCCAATGCCACAATAGATTCCACAACTGGCATAGGCTCCTCAGGGTTAGCCCCAAACCCTTCAAAATCCCTCTCTTGTACACATTCTAGCCACAATTATCTCCAAGCAAAGTTCAAAGTCCTGGAAGTCACTCCCTCCCAAGCCTTACCTATAAGGTTAATGCAACTGAGGATACTGAGTGATCTTTCCATAACACTCTTAGGGTCAATTCAGTGTGTGAGGTCACTTCAAAGCACTTTTGAAACACTGCTTTGGTGTACAGTTTTTTGAAGTTTCAAATGACCTGCTGGAGTGGAGAGGAGTGGTGTTAGGAGGCAAAAACTTGACTTGGATAAAACTAAACTCCCCCACAATTCACTCTTCCAAGTCTTGAGGATGAGCAGGAGCATTGTCCATTAACAGGAAGCACTGGAGTGGCAATTAATTTTCCATGAGGTATTTTTTCACATTGGGGCCAAACACGTCACAGAACCAATCGAGGAAAATGCCCCTAGTGACCCATGCCTTACTGTTTGCTCTCCACATCACACACAATTTAGTCTTGACAACACTGTTTTTCTTGAACACTCTGGAAGTTTCAGAGTGATACACGAGTAAAGGCTTCACTTTGCAATCCCCACTAGCATTACTACAAAACATGAGAGTTAGCCTGTCTTTCATAGGCTTGTGTCCTGGGAGTGCCTTTTCCTCCAGAGTAATGTAGGTCCTGTTTGGCATTTTCTTCCAAAACAGGCCTGTTTTGTCACAATTGAACACTTGTTGGGGTTTTAATTGTTCAGCCTCTATGTACCCCTTAAAGTCCTGCACATATTTTTCAGCTGCTCTTTTGTCAGAACTGGCACCCTCACCATGCCTTATCACACTGTGTATGCCACTATAATTCTTAAATCTCTCAAACCAGCCTTTGCTGGCCTTAAATTCATTAGTATGAGCACTATTTGGAAGCATTTTCTCAATAAAATCTGCATGCAACTGCCTTGCCTTTTCACATATTATTGACTGAGAAACACTATCTCCTGATGATTGTTTCTTGTTGATCTACACCAACAACAGTCTCTCAACATCTTTGAGTATTTGCAATCTCTGTTTTGTAAGCATACTTGCACCTTTCACAACAACAGCTTCCTTGATTGCCTTTTTGTTGGCCAAGATAGTAGTGATGGTTGAATGGGGTTTGTTATATAACCTTGACAACTCGGAGACCCGCACTCCACTTTCGTATTTTGTGATGATCTCTTTCTTGAATTCAATAGTATTTCTCACCCTCTTTACCACAAGGCTGGCACTAGAAGCTTTCTTTGGGCTCAAGGTGGCTTATTTAGCAATTACAAGCACTAAAAACAATGGAATAATACAAAATACAGTGGACCCCCGTTTAACGATATTTTTTCATTCCAGAAGTATGTTCAGGTGCCAGTACTGACCGAATTTGTTCCCATAAGGAATATTGTGAAGTAGATCAGTCCATTTCAGACCCCCAAACATACACGTACAAACGCACTTACATAAATACACTTACATAATTGGTCGCATTGGGAGGTGATCATTAAGCGGGGGTCCACTGTATATCGCAAGTACTAGTGGAATCATCCTCATTTGCTTGTAAACAATGGCACACTAGCTGTACATGGACTGGCCGGGCCGCTCAGGCCACATGGACAAGTTCGGGAAGAATGTCCTGAACTGAGTTTTTTTCGGTAACCGAGCCAATATTTTGACGTAATAACATGTCGCTTTCTGATTTTTTTGTTATCCGATGACATCATTACCCGAGGGTCCACTGTATATATTATCATGTATCTCTCTCTCCTCCGCTCCAATGAGAACATGTTCAAGACCTGAAGGCGTTCCCAGTAATTTAGGTGCTCCTTACTGGCTCACTTTTAGCCATAAACGATCTCTGTATTTGTTCCAGCTCTGATATTTCTTCTGCTTTGAACGGGGCCATCAGCACTGAGCAATATTCTAAATGAGAGAACACTAGCAATTTGAAGAATGTCACCATCAGTATTTTTTCCCTTGTTTTGAAAGTTCTCAATACCCACCCCGTCATCTTCCTGGCTGTCGTGATCTTTGTCTTGTTATGGTCTTTAAGAGAAAGGTCAGCTGACGTAATTATTCTTGGGTCTTTTATGTGTTCCATTCATTCTGTTTGGTGACCCTCTTGAGTTTTGTACAGCGGTACCTCGAGTTTCGAATTTCTTCGTTCCAGAAGGCTCTTCGAGTGTCGTTATGGAATGAATTTGTTCCCATAAGGAATAATGTAAATTAGATTAGTCTGTTTCAGACCCCCAAGAATACATTACAAAAGCACTTACAATAACACACTTACATAATTGGTAGAGTTGGTAGCAGTTCAAAACTCGGGGTACCACTATATAGTGTTCCTTTTGAGTTCTTTATTCTTTCCGTACCTAAGTAGCTGGACCTTATCACTATTAACCCTTTGAGGGTTTTGGTCGTACTATTACGTCTTACGCGTAGGGGTTTTTGACGTACTAGTATGCATAAATTCTAGCGGCCTCAAATCTAGTGGGAGAAAGCTGGTAGGCCTTCGTATGAAAGAATGGGTCTATGTGGTCAGTGTGCACAGTCTAAAAAAAATCCTGCAGCACACAGTGCATAATGAG